CGTTTGTGTGTGTGCCAGTGCACATATTTGTGGACGGCATGACGACGTGACGACGCCTGGACAGCGTGAGACCTCCCAGGTGCGGTATGCAGGGTGGGCGAGGCGGGATACCCAGGGAGCGGGATACCCAGGGACCACCTTGGGCACGGTGTGGCGACGAGGGCGGCCGAACACAGGAGGGCACGCCAGCCCCGACGGGGGCGCCAGCACCACGGCGAAGGTGAGCGTGGTGCGGCCTTCGCCCTGCGCGGGCGCGCCCGCGCGCGCCGCCCCGCAGACGGACGAGATGAAGACAAGGGGGGAGCAACATAGCGGGACACACTGCGAGTAGTAGGAGTGTGGCGTGCGGGCGGGGCGGGGGACCCAGGGGGCTGGCGACGGCGGTATGCAGGGCGGGCGAAGCGGGCTGAACACAGCTCTGGAATCCCAACATGTCGGTTGGGGAACTTTCGGAGGTCCGCGCAGATTTCTTGGATCGGCGCTGGACCCCATGGCGCCGCTCCTTGCACGCTCCGAACGCCAGGGATGGGCGTCCTGCAACGATCCCCAAACAAATCCGCGAGGACCTCCGAATATCTATGTTTGTGCCATGTGTTCTCCTTCGGTAGCAGGCACATGTGCAAGCGACACCCTTCCTGGATAACGCACCCTGGACAAGACTCGAGCAGGGCAGGGCAACTTTGGGGGGCGCGCAAACATGGATTAGCGATCCATGGATTTGGCGCGCGGTCGCCAAATCAATGGATCGGTGGAGGTGCCCTCCCCAAAATGCGGCCGGTGTCGCCTCATTCGGTGGCGGAAGCGATTTCCCATGGGAACGGGACCCGTCGCTAACACACGCCCCCTTGATCCATGTTTGCGATCGCCTGACTTGGGCAAGCGAAGCCCTTCCTGGATAACGCGCCGTGCACAAGAATCGAGCAGGGCAGGGCAACCTGCGGCGCGAAAACGACGGGTCCCGGATACTGGGGCTGTCCCCCGGGGGCGTCCAAGAACGGGGCGTCCAAGAGGGGGGGTCGCAAATCATGGCGGGACGCATGTGCGCGGCCGAGCGGGGGGACCAGGGGACGCATTGCGAAAATAATGATGAGAAGAATAAGAAGAAAGCTAATAATAATGATAATAATAGTAAGGCAACTGATACTACGATTGAAAAGAAAGAGGCACCATTACATCCGGGAAGATATCATGGCCTCGGCCTTGATGCACACCCCTGATCCTCACCCCACTTATGGCCGCCCCCAAGTCAGGGACCAACTTCTCTTCCCAGAGCGAGGAGAACCTCAAGACCCCTTCCTCTTTGGACTCCCTCTCCTGTCCCAGGGCGGCTGGAACATTCACTTCGTACCAATCCGCGCCCGCTGAGCTCAGAGAACGCCCTGCGAAGGCGGGGGGGAGTTTGTAGCCGGGGAGCTAACGCAATCCATAAGATACCAGCACTACTCCCCCCCAGACCTCTCCCAGGGCGTTTTCGGACCAGGGTGAGAAGGCGAATCCAGCCGTGGCGACGACGGATGGGAAGTGGCATCGGTATCTTTTCCTGCTCCCATCCCTCCCCACACGCCCACCGAACGGCCGATGCATCCCGTTCGTGAATTATGACGCGCGGCATGGGCTATCCCAGTGCTAATGAATTCGGATGATGGGGAGTGCCTTGGAGAGGTCAGGGGCCCTGTATGGGCCCACTTCCCTGAGACTCCGCAGGCTGCGGAATTCTCGGCTCGCTGTGTGGTTTCTCAGTTTGTGATTTTCCCGAGCATCTCGTATTCAGGCTGCGCCAATGTGGTCCACCATAGTTGCCTCCCCCTGCCTGACAGATATTCAAGCAAGAAAGCCTATTCTGGAATGATTTTGCAGGCCGATGCCAATGAGGGCCAGGCTTTCGACGGCATCGTGAAAGTTCAGGCCCACCTCAGCCTCGAGGAGGAAGGCCTCTCAGCTCGTGAACAGTTTCTTCGCAAGGGTAACTCGGACGCCGACATTGGAGCTAAGCACGGCCGTCAGCTTCACCCGTCTGCCCCTGGTGATATGGAGGTTATCACGAAGCTGGTCAATGCCGCCAGAGCATATCGTATTCTTGCGGCCAATTTGCTTCCGCTCTGGCCCAGGTTGTCCCTCGATGTGCCATACACCCCACCTGAGCGCTCTTCCTCTTCGCTGTGTCCCTCCCCCGTGCCTCACAGGTGGGACAGATGGAGTGGCATTTGGAGGTGTGCTGTTTGTCTGCAGGGGCGGAGGAAAGCAAAGACTTGCCCCCCGCCTGGCTCCTGTGTAAGCTTCTCCAAGCTCCATGCTGCGAGGCAGCAGGAGCTAGGCCACCGAACGGTGACGTTCAATTGCTCCGATGGGTCAGTTCTGTTTATCTGCCTGCGCTGCAAGTGACACTCTTCAGGCGCCTCGGTCCGAGGCATAGGAGAGCGGTGTCAGCCACCTTCCTGCGCTGCTAAATATGGGTGGCGAGCGCTCGCGAAGGGCATTCATCCGCATTATACTAAGCAGAAGCTGAATGTTACCGTCGATTTGGAAAATTGTATTGCCTGTGTTGACACATGTGTGTTTGAGGATGGGTCCGAGCCCTCCGTCCGTGGCGATGATCACGTTCTGGAGTGCGCCTCTCCCTCCGCTCCGTCTGCCACCGCCTCTGGTGCTGCTTCTGCACCTGCCGCCGCAGGCCATGATCCCCCGCCCCCGTCCCACCTGGCGCCCACTGCAGTCAGGCCCCCTGCGGTGAAGGGACGGGGGTGTGTACGACCTCGGGGACTCGGCCAGGCGAGAGACGGCAGCTGCGAGAGGTGCGGGAGGCTCCTTTTCGCGGCTTTGAGGAGGAGGAGGAGGAGGCTGCTCTGTCCCTCTTCGGTCCGCCCAGTGTCGCAGCTCGAGAGGCGAAGCCCGCCCCATCTCCTGGAGATGTGCTGTTGCACGGGCGGCGAGCTCTCGAGTCACAGGAGGATGGAGACACACGGGCCCCCCTCCTGGACGCGAGCGCTGGAGCCGACCTTTCAGGCGACTCAGAGTAACCTCGCTTGTAGGTCAGCCTGTCTGAGTCGCATTTAGAGCTGGCAGGTCCCGCACTGCCAGTTGCTTGCACTATGCTGTGGGCGCGCGGAGGTCAAAAAAAACCTCCCCCTCCTCCTCCTCCTCCTCCTCCTCCTCCTCCTCCTCCTCCTCCTCCTCCTCCTCCTCCTCCTCCTCCCCCTCCTCCTCCTCCTCCCCCTCCTCCTCCCACTCCTCCTCCTCCTCCTCCTCCTCCTCCTCTTCTTCTTTTTCCTCTTCGCCTTCTCCTTCTTGTTCTTCTTATTCTTATTAATATTATTATTATTCCTCCTCCTCCTCCTCCTCCTCCTCCTCCTCCTCCTCCTCTCAAAACCTGCTCCCTACCCTGGCGAGTTCCCGGATCTAGTTATTCAGGCGGCTCCAGCCGTGGCGACGAGAAGCCCCCCGAGAGGCCCCCCGAGCACGAGCACCGCCGCCAGAGAGGGCCGTCGCTGCCTCGCCCGGGCCCGGGTCTCCGGCGGCTGCTCGGGACGACTCGGGCGTCCCGGGGGCGCGCTCCGCGAGGCGCAGCTGCTGGGAGCACTCTCGTCGTCGGCGGCTGGGCAGAGTGTCGCTGCGCCGGCGAGGAAGCACAACGGGGCCGCCGTGGAGCGACGTGTGCCACCGTGCAAGACTTGCCGTCGCTCGGACGTCCCTGTCCAGTGTATGTTGTGGGTTCCGTGCGTGCTTTTGTGTGCTCGATGGTCCAGGATGGTCCTCGACGCATTTCGCCGAGAAAAGAATGCACACGTCCGAGCGATGCCAGGAAGAGGGGGGGGGGGAGGCAACGAAGCGACGGCCGAATATGAAGGGGCCCTGGGACACACAAATAAATACACACAAATAAAAATATTCCCCATATTTTCCTATATTTTCTGGGTTTTTGTCTTCCCCACCACTTCCCATATTTTCGCATATCTTCCTGGGAATCGACGATTAATTGTGTCTGTGTGTTTTTTCCTCTCCTGAGAATAGGAGGAGGAAGAAGCGGGCCGGGGCCGCTCAGGGGAACGGGGCGTTCCCCGGGGCGCGTGGCGCGGCCGTCACCGCCGCGGGGCAAGCGGCAGCCGCGGGGCTGGGGGGGGGCAGCCGCTGGAGCACGTCTCGAGGCCGAGAGAACCGCCGAGGGCAGCCCCGGCCATGGCCAACGAAGGGGCCCTGGGACACACAAATCAACACACACGAATAAAGTAATCCCCCCATATTTCCCCATATTTTCGGAGTTTCTGTCTTCCCCCCCACTTCCCATATTTTCCCAGATTCTCTGGGGAATCGACGATGAATTGTGTCTGTGTGTATTTTCCTCTCCTGAGCCAATCGGTATCATACGGTCGGGCCTAGGACAGAAGAGCACCATTCAAGAACACGAGACCCTCCGCCGGCCAGAGCACCCCAAGCCATAAGACCGCGCCCTCCCCCAGGATGCATCAAAGGACATCCCACAAGCACGAAGAACATGATAGGGTACCCTCCCGGAGCCGACCTCGATCTTTCTACCTCGGTCCGACCGTATCTTTCTTCGGCGGCCAGTCTCAAATGGGGAAGTGAGAGGGGGCGGGCCTTCTCAGAAGGCTCGGAAGTGCCCGGGCCTCCTGAGAAGTGTCCTGAGCCTTGCCCGACGACGCAGAACACCTCTCGAACGCCCAGGGGGCTTTTGACAAGCCCCGCCGCCTTCTGAAAAGGCCTTCTCCTTCTCACTTCCCCCCCTCGCTCGCCGCCGAAATTCATGTTTCGGGTCATAACTCGGGTCTCCGGCGGCCGCTCGGGACGATCCGGGCATCTCTGGAACGCTCTCGGCGAGGCGCAGCCGCTGGAACGCACTCCGAGGGCGGCAAGCCGCCAAGAAGCCACGAGCACGCCCGAAAACCTAGAAGCTCGAAGTTCGAACCTCGAAGTTCTCGTTCCCTCCCCCGTCGCTCGCCGCCGGTGGTTCCCTCCCTCCACGCTCGGCCCTCCCCGCGCGGGGCCGTTGCCCTGCTGGTACTGGGCCTGCATCGGCCGGCCGCCGCCCTGTGTTGAGGGGGGAGCGTCAGGGAGGGGCTCGGCTCGGGGGGGGGGGAACGCATCGAGCTTCCCGGCAGGGGCCCGACCACAAGAAACCTTCCACAAGAAACCCAACCCTGAGACCCCAGGACGTGCATGGATTTTCGGTGTGGGAACGTCGCGCTCGCCACCGCAAAACCGACGAAACCCAAGAAGCCCAGGGCACCCTGGAGGCAAGCAGTGTGTCTCTTGGCGTGGGCCTCCACTGTAGGTCGGGCACGTCCTCCTACAGGCGGAGTTGGAGGAACAATCAAACATAATCAAAAGAGAATAACAGTACCCGGAAGAGCACGAACCATCGTCCCCAGACTTTTGAAGGAAGGATGAGGATAGTCCAACAATAATCAAAGCTAGTAGAACAAACATTGACACATCGTCCCCAGACAATGTTTGAGCTATTATTGACCATTCCTCCTGCGGTCGGACCTGGGACAGAAGAACACCCCAAACCATAAGATCATTCGAGGGCGTCCCCTCCAAGGATGCATCAGAGAACATCCCACAAGCACGAAGAACATTACAGGGTACCCTCCTCGAACCGACCTCGATCTTCCACCTCGGTCCGACCGTAACCGACGACGCGCCGCCGAGCCGCCGAGACAGCTCGTCGGCAGGCCCACGTCAGCGCATGCGCACGTTCCTTGGCGTGGTGTGCTATCGGGCCCCTATCGGCGATGAGTGTGGAGGGAAACAAGACGGTGACCATGACCAGGTCTACGCGCGGGAACGCTGTTCTCGATCTTGGTCACCGTGTCAATGGTGGTCATCGCGAACTCAAGGATAAGCCTCGCGAGTCGGCGACGGTCAGCATGGACCAGTGCCAACATCCAGCACCAACACCGACAATACCACGCGAAAGATTGGCCATGGTCCTCGCGTTTCTTCCCCCGAGACTCGGCGGCGATGGGGTGTCGAGGCGTTCCGGAGGCGGCTGGGGGGGGGGGCTGAACTGGTGGGGGCCCCAGGACATCTGTCAGGAGTATGGGGCCACACGCGAACCCTACCCCTACCCCCCACGATTTCTGACGGGGGAGGGTGGGGTTCACTTCGCTCGGGAGCTCCCGCGCGAAGTGAACCCCACCCTCCCCGTCAGAACTCGTGGGAGGCAGGAGCAGGGTTCGCTTGTGGCCCCCAAAGGAAAGGGTGGACGATGCCACGTCCGCTCAAAATCAATCCCGGGACCCCTCTCGGGGGCGGCAAAGAGGGGGGTGTCCAAGAGGGGGGGGTGCAAATCATGACCGGCGGCATGTGCGCGCCCAGCGGGGGGCCAGGGTCGTGATGAAATAAGAGGAGGCGCCACGAAATCTGGGGAAATATCATGGCCCCCGCCATGATATCCGCCCCCCCCTAGTCATCACCCCCCTCTTTTCCGCCCCCGACCCTCCCGGGGTCCACCCGGCCCAGCGCTCCGCCCCGGACCCGTGCCGGACCGCCCCGCGCCCCGGGGCCCGACAGCACGGCCCCCGCAGGCCGGAGGGGGGGCGAGAAGAACGCCCTTCCCGGACCAGGAGCCTCGAACCTCGCCCCCCCCCTCCCCCTCCTCCTCCCCTCCTCCTCCTCCTCCTCCTCCTCCTCCTCCTCCTCCTCCTCCTCCCTCGCCTCCTCCTCCTCCTCCCCCTTCCTCCTCCGCCTCCTCCTCCTCCTCCTCCTCCTCCTCCTCCTCCTCCTCGAGCCCCTCGAGCCTCGAGCCTCGAACCCCTGCCCGGAACCGGCGCTGGGCTTCCTCAGACCCCCAGTCGACCCTAAATGATGGTGCTTCCTCCCTCGAGCGGGGGTCGATGCGTGCTCTCCCCCCCGGTCGGGGGTTGCCAAAGGTGCCCGTGGCCCAAGCTGCCCCTGGCTTCTCGCACCGCTTTGGAGCTCCGGGGGGGGCCCTCAGGGTCTCGCGAGGGCTGCTCTGGAAGCCGTGGGGCCCTCCTTGGATATCGTGGGGGCACCTTGGGCCAGGGGCGCTTCTTCTGGCAACGCCCGACCCGAGCCTTGAGCAGGGACCGACCGTCCCAGCATTCCTACAGGCCTACCACGACATGTTCTTAGGACCCAAAGATTTTCTTAGAAGAAAACGACGTTCTAAGAACAGAAACCCGATGCTGCGCTAAAACAAGACTGTCCCAGCCAGAAGTGTTCTAGGCGCATGTCGCGCAGACCACAAAAGGCTCTTAGAACATTCTTTGGTCGGCCTAAGAGGCACGCTGGGACGCTGTGCCACTGCTTGAGAGCCAGTCCCCCCCCCGACGTTGCCGCCCATGACCTGCTGGCCGGCGTCGGCGCCGGCCCACCGCCCGTCGGGGAAGTAGTTTGGCCTGCCGACCGCCGCGTGCGGCGAGTCCTTGCGGCGCTGCCGCGCGCTGCTTCTCATATGATTCGGGCTGCGTATAGAGACAGCAGGGAGACCACCCTCAGAATAACCAGCACGACGAATGAGGCCTTTTCGTGAGAGCGCACAAGAAAGGCGTCGAACAGGACAGGGTGGTTTAGTGAACGCCCAAGGCCGCCCAGTAAATGCCGATTAGGAGGGTCGGGAGTGTTTTTTCTTCCCTGACAAACAATCAAGCAACTTAGCACGAGTTGAAAGTCATGCCCGAAAACTCAAATCGCACGATGGTTCAGCCAGACTGGTGGTCCAGCCGGGAGCCTGGGGAGAAAAAGGTTTGGCAGCAGGTCGCGGGCGATTGGCGCAGCGTGGGGCGCCCGAAAACGCACGCACGGGCCCCCCGCATACGGTGACGCGGGTCCCCTTTCGGACGCCTCAGCGTCGCCTCGGGCGTCGCATCCGGGCACGGATCCGCTACGGATCCTATACCGATCCAAAGCTTCGTGGCCGGATCCTCTGCGAATCTGTTGGGGTTTTGACGGGTCCGACTGGGGATACATCGCGTGTTTCGCACGGCCCCTGTCTGACCGAGCAGCCGTAGAATCCGAGGGCGATTTACCCAGGGCACAGGGCTAGGCGCCTCCTCGAATTCCACTGAGGATCTCCTTCTAGAACTTTCCCCCGGCGGCTCTTTTAAACATTTTGTTGAGCGGCTCCTCTGGGTTCCGATGTTTGGACCGTCGCGCGTTCTGATCACTGGACCTCACCGTCACCAGCGTCGTCGTCCTCCTCGCCGCCGCAGCGCCGAAGCCGCCGCCGACATCGCTGTCGTCGTCGTCGTCGTCGTCGCTTTCGCCGCCGCCGCACCGACCGTGGTCAGTCGCGGTCGCCGCCGCCGTTGTCGTCGCCTTCACCTTCGCCAAGACTGTGGGAGCTCCTGAGTGCACCTGGGCGCCCTCGCGCCCGCGCTTCCGGGTTCGTTCAGTCACGCGTCCAGTCCAAGCAATTCGTACCAACTTTACCTGACTGTCTGTTACAGACAATCAAGTAAGCTGGTATGACTTGAGAATTCGGCCCGAAGACTCAAACCGCACGAAAGTGCCAGACTGTTGGTCCAGTTGGGACCCTCTGAGGTTCCCATGAGTAACCACACAAACGAGGGAGAAGAGGCGGTAGCGCAGCGAAGTGCAAGGCTTTTCATCCAGGGTGCTCGATACCAGGGGGCCAGGATCCTTGTGTGAAGGAACGCGCCCCTCTAGTGCACCGCGTGGGCCCGGGCTGGCAGTTCAGGAGCCACTCGGGGCCCCTCCAAGGCCACTCCCCTGTAATCCTCGATCCACCCACGTTTAAACAATGCCCCACATTTAGGGGAATCAAACGGTACCGATACCGCTACTCCCTGGACCTCTCCTGGGGTGCGTTCTGACCAGAACTTCGAGGCAAATCCAGCGGTGGCGACGACGGCCTCCCAGGAGGCCCAAAAAGGGGAAAACGAGGGAAGGTTAGAGGTATGGGAACCCGTTCCTCCTCTGAACAGCGCCGTCCGCCCGAGCTTGCTATGCATGTTTCTGCTTCACCCTCCGGCTCCTCGCCGCCCATCTCATAGCTGCCCTGGCGGGCGATCCCGGGGGACCCGTACGCCGGGGCGGCCTCGGCACGGGGTGCGCCCAGGGGAGGAGGAGCGCCGCTCGGGCTGGGCAAGTCGGGTCTGGCGAAAGGGGGGGATAGCAAAGGGGGGGTTTGAGAATCAGCTCACGCGGCTGATTTTCCTGGCGCCTCCCGGCGCCGGAGGCGGCCATGTATCGAGGACTGGGCCCCTCGGTGGGGCCGAAACCAGCTGCATGCAGCAAATTTCGTACCCCCCCTTTTCCCAATCCCCCCCTTTCGTCCGGCCCGAGCAAGGGCGGGCGGGATGGAGAACGGGGCCCTCGCACCCGGAGGAGGGGCCGTCGAGGCAGCAGCGGCTCTCCCTGGCAGTTGGCGTCCTCGCGGGGCCTCCGGGCGGCACCTCGTCGCCACGGTCTGCTGCGCCTCGAGATATTTGAAGGTGCCCTGGGAGACACAAGTAAATACACACAGAAATAATAGGATTCCCCATATGTTTTCCTATTTTCTGGGTTTTTGTCTTCCCCCCCCACTTCCCATATTTCCAACTTGTTTCAGGGAATCGACGATTACTTGTGCCTGTGTGGTTTTGTCCCCTCCTGAAAGGTCCGGTCAGGCCACCGATCTTGACCCGAGTTGGGCCGGGCGGGAGGGCCGCCGTTGTAACAACTGGCCCTCGCCCTCCTCCTCAACCGCCTCCGCTATGCCCCCTTCTGCCTGCTGAATGAGTCGCGACGTTACGCGTCCGATCCACCGTAGCCTCGACTTTGAAACATACACCACGCAGCACCGCTCAGCGCAGCTCAGGGAAGGGCGCGGTTTTGAGCGGTGTTGTGCGGTGTTGAGAAATGTAGCGCGGCTGTTTTGGTTGCTCTGGGGAGCTGTGAATTACATCCTAAAGACCCCGATGGATTGGACAAATAAGCGACAGCCCGGAATTGGTTTCTAACACCGCGTGGGTCGTTCATACGCTGCAGGCGCCGCCGACGTCGCCGGCAGCCGGTGGCGCTGCTGGCGCCGCCCAAGCTGTCGGGGCTCACGTAAAGGGGGTCAACGCTAACGGTTGTAAACCAATCCCCCCTGGCCAGCCCGGGTTTGGGAACCATGTGGGACCGATGCACTCTCTCCGAAGTTCACAAACGACGGCTTCCCGACCGCCAGGCGTGCCACATCGACCGACTCTGGGACACTGGCGCTGTGGATGCCATGACCATGGACACAGTAACAGTCCTATCATTGAATCAACGTTTGGTCAACATATGCTTGAAAAATGCTCTCAACGTGTTTGAAACATGGATTTGACACGTTTAAATCATGTTTAAAACCCTCCTCTCGATTGATCGTCGCCCACGGCACTGGCGGCGTTCCATACTTGAAAGCCTGCGGCGGGGTGGGCGGCCGCGCCAACCCGACGCCAAGCTGCCAGAGCCTCTCCTCCGCCGCCCTCCGCGGGGGGCCGGACAACGGGGGGGGCTGGCTCGGGCCGGAGTGATGACCTGGAGTCGACAATGCCTCCCCAGCTTTCCTTTCGTCTCGCCGCCTCTGCGCTGCCCCCTTCTCCTCATCCTCTGCTCTCGCCCTGTCGCCTCGCTGTGGGTGGAGGCAGCTCGGCTTCGTGCGACCGGCTCTTTTCCTCGCCCGCTGCCGCTGGCGCTTGCGAAGCGCGAGGCATCAGCATCTCTTCCTCTGGAGTCGCCGAGGGATCTCGGCGGCAGACGCTCCTGGGCACGGCTGGGGAATCCAGGCCCCGAGCGGCGAGGCCTGGGCAAATCGGGGGTCGATGCCTCCTCCCCCCCCCCCGGAGCCAAGCCGACCCCCTCCCGCGCTGTCGGCGCCGCTGATCCTGCTCTGTCCTCCTCCACGCCGCCGCCCGGGCCAGGCAGCCATGGCACGGGTGCCCGGGGTGGGGGGCAAGTGCTCCTGACGTGCTCACGTGGGCGCCGTGTTCGGGAGCGGCTCGAGCGCTGTGTTTGCTAGTCGTGCCGCCGGCCAGGAATCCCGCCCCCTGAGGAGGAGGAGAGAGGAGGAGAGAGGAGGAGAGAGGAGGAGAGAGGAGGAGAGAGGAGGAGAGAGGAGGAGAGAGGAGGAGAGAAGCGGAGGCGGAGGCGGAGGCGGAGGAGGCCAACAAGAAGGGGAGCAGTGAGGAGGAGGAGAAAAAGGAGGGGGAGGGAGAGGCAGGATCAATATCAACATCCGAGCGAGAAGCCGCACTGGATCGAGCTGCGCCAGCACGGAGCCAGAATCGGACCAGATCGGAGCGGCCACGCCAGGGTGCGCAGCGGTGCCACGCGAACATCGGGCCGCATCGGACCGTCGGAATGTATAGAACAAATTACAATCCACACAACATCAAGTGTCGTCCCAAACAGACAGCGGCCGCTATTACGCAGGCAACCTTGCGTCTCAAATGGACAACGTCCGCTGCGACACCAGCAACGAGTCCTGTTCCAAATGGAGAAGAGCTGCTGCTGGTATTCGTCATTTTCGTACCTGCTTCGATCCCGCAGAAAGAACAATCGGCACACACACACACACACATGCAGTCAAAACTGATAGTAAGGATGCGCGGCGAGGATTTCAGGAGTTTGGACGCGCATGCCTACGCTCTTCGAGCAGAGCTGGCCATCGAGCGTGGCCGAGGATGGACCGAAGATGAGCGACGAGGCAGGGATGCCAAAAGGGTGCCCTGGGGATACCGAACTGTGAACCGACTTCGGCTTCGGGTC